GGAATTGATAGAAAATTTTTGTTATGTTTTGTACTTTATTGTATCAATCAATAGGAATAATGTCTAATTAAATGTGCATCCAACTCATATTTCACTTTTAGACAATATGATCAATATTATCTTAAATACAACTTTAAGATAGTTTCTCTCTGTGCCAGTATTTTTGTGTTACATTGTGTTCTGTAGACTTGTTTATACAATTCGTTTTTTCTTCTCTTTCTCGTGTAATCACCCCTGTCTTTGCCTAGGTGGTTGACATAAAAGAGAAGCTGAAGCTGTCCAAGAAATTTTGGTCCAACCTGCCAGAGGCGATGTGCGTGGAGGACAGAGTGACCGCCGGAAATGCCAGTGATGAGGAGTGCTGGAATGGACACGCCAAGGGCAGGTGAGGGCACTGGGGCTGACGCAGGCTTGAACAAAAGGTTGTTAAGTAGCACAAAGTATGTTCAGCCAACCCTTTGTTAATCAGTCTAATCCTAGAATTAAGAAACCAGATTATTTACTTTCTCTGTCTTAAACTCAGCCCAGCAAGTGCTTTGCATAACTGTGATTCCTGAACTAAAGAAATATGATTTGGTCTCTGAAATAGTAGAGCATTGATCATTTCAGTTTGCTTGAACGCTATTTGGACGTTTTTGTTGGTGTCATTCTGTCAAACTGTCTTCTCATTCTTCCTTAAAATGTGCTACCAGCATTGTTTCCTCAATTAATCTGATTTCATTTTCAAGGCTAATATTTGTCCAAGCACTCCAAGAGCCTAAAGTCATTAATTGATGTGTGCTACTTGTATGTGTTCTGCCAACTGTGTGATTCCAAGCTGTTAAGCATTCAAATTCTTAAAAGAACCCCTACAACTAACACTTTACCGCTGTATATTGATGTTTTACCTGTCAGCTGCTTTCATTTTATGTTATCAAATAGACAAATCCCTCATGGAAATCAAATATGAACTCTTCAAGGATTTCAGAGGTCTATATTATCAGGAGTGGCTTAGTGAAAACAAATGTTGTTGTGTCAGACAGTTTGTGGAATGCCCTCACGTGACGACCTGCTGCTTATACATCAAACAAGAATGCAGGCAGCTGACATGTTTTCCCTGGAGAAACAGCTCCTAACTCTGTTGGAACGTTACCCAACATGATTAGGTCAAATGTTCATCAGGCCCAAGTGCTTCTCCTCAAAGAGCACTTGTCAAGAGACCTACATCTCAAAGCAAAATGCAAGTGTTTGTCCCCCACTATCCTCTCTGTCATTGTTCCTTGTTCCTCTCTGTCCGATTCGGAAAACTCATATAATGAGGTTGTGTAGCATCATATATTTTTACTCACAAACAATGTCTAACTTTTCCCTTTGGCAAGCACTTGTCAGAAAATAGTGACGTCACTTTATTTATTTAAGTCACTGTCTTTTCCAACTATCAGGTATTTCCCTGAAGTCCAAAAGGACGGACTGACCAACCAGGTGAATAACCCCGAGGTGGTTGTGGACATCACCCGCCCAGACACCTTCATCCGCCAGCAGATCATGGCTCTGAGGGTGATGACCAACAAACTGAGAAACGCCTACAACGGCAATGATATCTATTTTCAAGACTCCAGTAAGCTATTGCCATTCAGACACGTGACTACATGCACGTTCTTTTTCTCTTTAGGCAGGAAATGTATTTTAAGTCTCTTCATCCCTGCCCTGCTTGGTCAAGTAAATGCAACAGCTTGTCACTCATGTTGATAAGCTGTCCCTCTGAAATACCACCTAACCTTGAGACAGCGGTAATTAGCACAAAAGTCACAAGAAACACGAGGCAAACAATCGCAATAGCACCACTCTTGCTTTAACATGCAGTCTTCTCTTTAAATACACCTTTAAAATTTGATTTACAGAAATTGGTGTCAAATAGAGACACAGGCTGGTATTGTGAACACTGATTTGATATCACCACATGTGTTTGTATAATTATTATTATAATGAATTTGGCATATACTCAATGTATTCACTCTACTTTTCCATTTTGGATCACTACCAACCAAATATCTGTCTGCATGCTGCACTATGTTTCCCACCTACTTGCTAACTTTGTGTGTCTGTTACGGTTTGTGGAAATCCATTTAAAAATTTGAATGGCACTCAGACCCCTGTCAAGGCCCAACAGCCACATTTAAATTCACCCTATGTGTTAGGATGGATCTACACCAAATACACATAGTTATTAATATCTGTCCCGTAAACATGTCTGATTTTCTATAACTCAAGACCCAAATTTAAAGGGTTCTTTCCTGATCCATACCACATCCTAAAGTTTCACCAGCCAGACCAATAAAGTACAGACAAAAACATAACCTCCTTGGTGGAGGGAACAAAGTGAGAATGAACCACAGAGAGTGATACTAACTAATAACTAACTCAATAGATTTACCTCAGTGATAATTCTCTGTGGATTTATATGAGTCTTGACATAACCTATACATGCATACGGTCATTTGAGCCAGTGTTAATATTTATATGAAATATATAATTGTAGCTTTAACCCTAATGTGAGATACATGAGAGCTTTGAAGTGACACTTTAGTATTGTTGAGATCGGGTTAAATTATTGACTAATGTTACTGTTTCATTGAGGCGTGTCTGGCCTGTGTTTTGTTATGGTGTTGCAGGTGATGAGGGCAGTGGCTCAGGCAGTGGCAGCGGCTGCACAGAAGTCTGCCCCACAGACATGGACGTTGTCGCCACCGAAGCCCCAGTGGTGGAAGCCGACCGAAGCGGGCCCGTGGGTGACTCTGCCCCGCTCCATGCACCCTCTGTAGCCCTGCCAACCATGCTGGCCCTGTCAGCTCTGGCACTCCACCGACAATGGAGATAATGCTGGAGGAACGGGCCAAACATGAACAGCAGGGTCTTTTTTTTTTGCAGTTTTTTTTTTTTGCAGTTTTTTTGTATTCAGGCAGATTGGAGCTACGGTCAAGCAGACAGTATTCAGGCTGCCAGCCCCAAGGCTAGAGGAGTCTGCTCTGAAAACCAGAGCAGTCATGCATCATGATTTCCCACTTTCCCAAAGATCATGCAGTGCCATCCTTAGACTTGATTTCATGGCATCACTTCACCATCTAACACCGATGCTGCCCCAACTCAACAAACTCTGCTTCAGAGATTTAAAAAAAAGGTGTTTCTTGCACATATGGCAGGTATTAAGTAGGTAATGTGGAAAAATGTAACACGCACTTTTGATTGTTTTGATTTTTTTAAATGCAAAAACTGTTTGTGTGTTGAAAAGTTATGAGAATGTGGTTATGTGATGCACCTAAAAGAGGCACAATAAGTTTCATATGTTTAATATACAACAAAAACAAAGGGTTTATCCAAATGGCGTAAAATTCAGGAACATGTGGTTTCTACCTAAATTTTGAACTCAATCTTTGTTCCACTGTCATTAGCTCATGTGCCAATTTATTTTTATGAGAGGAGTCATGTTTTCATGTTGCTTCATCTTGTGATTTACAATAACCTTATGACATTTGGCAAGATGTGTAGGTTCAAGTAGTCATGGGTTGATCATGCGTCTGCTCTGCTCTCAGCAATCCATGACACTGTTCAACAACCGCCTCGTGCTACATCTCATGTTATGTTAAAAGGGAAACAACTGACATTTATGTACTCATTAGCCTTGCAACAGATTTATTATCTGCAAAATATGTTCATGTTATGCTGGTTTGTCAGGCTCGGCTTCAGGGGTAAGTTATTGTCACACAGAGAAGTGATGCATTACATGAGTGGGCAAAACCACTTCAAACCCTTACTAATGTACTTCTTATGATTATAATGATTTTTTTTATTAGTAGGGGTTTATGTCTTCTTTGAGTCGCTGTCTACACAGTGTGCTTTCACCTAACCACTGTAAAGAATGAGTGACCTGCATGCACAGCAACTTAGTGAGGAACTACACATATCAATTGTTTTTTTTAAATCTTTAAATAGTGCTTAAAATAATTTTATAATGCCTTATAAAGGAAATCCCACAAAGGAAAGGAAATCCATAAATTCAAAACAATCTCTGTCATTTACAGTAATTTAGGCCTGAATGTTTTGATGTGTGAAATATTTGATAAATACTAGAATTACAAACACAGTGTGTCAACCACTTGTCCATATGTGATTTAATAGCCAAAGCTTATTCTGTAACACTGTTTAACAGTTTGGATTTGGTCATTATTAAATTGTGCATCTTAGCAAAGCAAAACTTTGTCACACAGTTTTAAAAGTCAAGTTGTGAAATCAAACAATTTTCAAAATAAAAATATTATTTCCACAGTTATGCAAAAGAAGAGGGAATTATTAGCAGCAGAAGTGGCAAACAGCATACAGTGGGCACTAGAAATGCAAAGAAAGGGTCCCTAAATTTATCTGCAAAGCTTGAATGGTTATGTCTGCAGCACAGACAGGCTTGAAGCCGACCACAGTCACCTGTGAAATGAGAATATGTGGAGACCGGACAGGGCTGAATGCTCCGCTGAAGCTCCTCAGTAGAGCGTACTTACAGAGAATGTGAGAGGCCTGGCACTGCTGAGGGGGGCGGACAAAACCAGCCTGTATGTACGTCCACTGTTCTCTGAGAGCCCGTCAGCTCCATCACCACCGGGCCAGCTAAGCTCACATATCCTGCCTATAGCCCTTGTTATACCCTCAGCAGTATATCCATGAATATTTGTCAAGCTTTTATTTTTGTTGCATTTACGTCAGCATTTGCATCCACATTGCAAGAACAAAAAAATATTGAGAAAATGTGTGAAATATGTCATTTGAAAGGACTCTTGGGTATGAATTTTGACCGTACAGGATGCCCTTTTTATGTTTTGTATCATTGAACTTTTAATGGTAATATTTTTGCAATAAAAACATTGAAAATGGTTGTCTGGTCAAATGGACAAATTATCTGAAAAATAGAATTAGCAGGAATTGCTACGTCTGCATTTTTTTTACTATTGATGCGTTGCAGTATGAATTCATGTCCTGAGGATGTTTAAGTTGTTTGGAGTTTGAATATAATTTCAAACTGAGGGGACGAGGGGCTAGATGAACAAATATGCCTTACTGTTTTTCAGTGTGATTAAGATGAATGCATTTGTTTTTGTTAATGTTCTTGAGAATAAATATTTATTAAAAACATTCCATTAGATTTGTATCTATAGCGAGGGGTAAAAATTTAAATTTGGCTGAAAAGATTGTACTCAGTTACCAATTTATGGTATATGTTTATTTTTGATTGGTTTCAATTGAAATGTGCAGTAAGTCAATATTTTTTACAGTGGATAGTACAATTCACATTGTTATTGTTTGAAATTAGTCTTAATATCTACAAAGTATCAGTGCCATTCATTTAAAATTATTAATATTGAAGACTTGCTTCAGTGCTGGGCTTGTGCAGAACATTGTAGAGTGGCTGCTCCATCTCTCCGACAGCAGGTGAGATCTAGGCTTCCTCTGTGTACTTCCTATTTGTGAAGTCTGCCTTTATTAAAGGTTCAAAGCCTCTGTTTCTCCGCTGACGCAGGTAGAGCACATAGATAAGTAGAAGCACCAGGAGACCGATGAAGACTCCCCCAAGAGTGGAGCCCAGCACAAACACAGGCACCCCGCCATCTGCAGAAAATAAAACATGTAAATTTCATTTGTGTAGCTCCATATAACAGAGACATTTGATTGATCTAATTTCTGTGAACCAGTATCTTTGATTTGAAAAATTACTTCTTAGCCCAATTATGCGGTTTGCAACAAAATCGTCCAATTTGTCAATTTCAAGACATTGAACTGCACAACACACAACAGAGGATAGTGGCATTAGCATGTGTGTGCTCTTAAGCTATTTTCTCAAAGCATTTCTACTGTCTTCTGATTCAATTACCACTGAATTATCATAATATTATAACCTTTTTCCTCAGAAAATTACTACTTTATTCATTGTTACCTTATTCTCAAAATCCTAAAATTAGTTTTTTTTGATGACTTGAACTTTGATCTGAAATCAGAAGCTAGGTTGTGGACCAGACACAGCCAGATTAGCTGATGCCTTCTGCTTTTATGCTAAGGTTGATAACTGCCTACCATAATGACAATGGAATATATTTTCTCATCTAACTCAACAAAGCTGTCAAAATGTTCCGAATTCCCTAAAGTGGCAAGCTAGTCCTTCAAACTCTTGCTCACCATCTAGGGCGATGGCGTAGGAATATCCCAGCTGTTCAGATGTGACGTAGATCTCCTCATTGGTGATGGGAGGGAAGAAGGGAACCATGTTGTAATCTCTGTTGTGGCCAATGGGCGCCATCTCGTCTGGGAAGGTGGAGTTAGTTGGAACAATCCTCCGCATCCACTCATCAAAAATGGCATCGGTGAAAGTGTGGAGCACCTGCGGTAAAATCAACCCCACAGAGTTATTTTTAATAATAACAACAACTCCACTGTGTCATTTTACCATGAACCCATTAAAGGTCCAGTGTGTAAATATATTGGCAGAAATTGAATATAAAATAATCTTAGTGATGTTCTCACTGTTGTGTTTCATCTGAATTGTACGAATTGTTATCATTACCCTAGAATGGGCCCTACATTTAAATACTTTATATTTACATCAGGAGTGGGTCCTCTCTCTGGAAGCCGCCATGTTTTTTACAGTAGCCCAAACTGGACAAACTAAACACCTTTTGAGTTTTCATGACAAATGAAGGCTACCACTGGTTCTCTTTCATGTTTGGAAGGAGAGGGTGAGGTAATGTGGTATTCAGCTGCAAGAGATTCTGACCAGAAAGATGGGGTCGTTGGCAGCGGAGTGGGACAAAGAGCTGGTTCCATTGAGCAGGGAGTGGACGAGGTTGTGAAGGTTGTTGACGGATTCATCCAGTTCTCCGTCTGGTTTTTCGTACCCTTCAAGTGCATTTCTGTGGGTTGCAAGGCACAGTGTGTTATCAGAGTGAAGAAGAATAAATTTTAAAATGATTATTGATGCCAAACAGTGGAATTATACCTGAAACTAAAGGAGGAGTTGGTGAAATAAGGAGGGCTGTCAAAGTCTCTGATTCCAAGGCAGCTTCTGACGTCATTCATTGTGGGCAGAGACATGTTGCTTTGCTCCATAATCCCTCTCTGAATGAAGCCCTCGCTGGTGCCGTTACACAGAGTCACCAGGCGATTGTAGTCATCCAGACTTGAACGGAAAACAATTGAAACATTAAAATGCTTGATGATGAAAACACATTTATTTACATTTATTTCACTATAATCTGATCAATGATTTTCTTCTGTGGCTGTAGTATTTTGTGCTGACCTGTTGCACACCACACCCCATCTAGAGAATCTGGACTGGTTGCTGATGAGAGAGGGGTTGTCTGGATTTCGGGCCCCAAGCAGAGAGTCGGTACAGATGTCACAGTCACTCTGTCCAGTGGCAAAGTTCCAGTAAGGGATCGCAAAGTTCTCATTGCCTGTCAGCCTCTGCAGGGAAAAGACACATGATCATTTATATTATCAGAGGATCTTTATGCAATCTCGCCGTCTGTCTCTTTCCTGTGTTTCCTGTTATCTATCATTCCCTTTCTTTCAAGGATTTTTAGATATAGATAAATAATCAGTAAATAGTCCGAATTTTAAAAATGCTTCTTCCAGAATCATAAAAACGTTTTATCATCATTTGTTTTTTCTTGAAAAGGACATTGATAGGCTGCAAATAGAATTTATTTCGGCAGGTAATCTGCTTCTAAAGGCAATAATTCACTTAATAAGCTTAGTGTGGGAGTCTCTGTGATGTATTTGTGCCTTTAGGAATGTATTCATTAAAATGTTATTTTTGACACATTAATAATTAAAGATACGCTGCACAATAAAGTCATATTTTTAGAGCTTTAACATATTTTTACATGTTTTTTTATGTAGCTACCAGCGACATACCTCTTAGATATCAGAATCTGATTAATCAATTACAAATACAGTGTTTAACAACAGCCCAATTTAGGATTTTAAATTAAGTGCAAAAGCAAATATTACGATACAAAGTAATAACACAATAAAAATGGGATGAATGAGAAATGAATGATTGAACTGTTTCAATAATATTTGTCATCCCAAAAATAATTGAATAAAATAAATTAAAATAAATCAGTGTAATAGCATGTTTTCTCTGAAAGTTTTTCCCATACCTGTAGCTCTCTCTCCAAGCTCAGAAGGTGATACCTGTGCCAGGTAATAAATGCTGGACCTTTGTGGGAGAAATCAATGGCTTTGAATGGGCGACCTGGACCTGCAGGAAGATGAAGTGTTTGATGAGTTTGTCTTTGTGGGATTCAGAAGAAACGAATGATTCATTTATCCTCATGATAAAATCATAATATTAGAGCCACAGTTCCTTCTTAAATACATTTTGAGACAACAACTATTTTTGTCTTTTTTCTGTTGTTTGTTTACAGATGTACCGCTCATAAATACAAAGAGATCCATATTTTCAATTAGCTAAGAAACGGGACAATATGTAGATATTAAATTGTTCAATAACACATTTAAATTAAATGCTTTAAAATTGTATAAAAAATATAATTTTCCCTACTAGCATCTGGACCAATTTAAAAATACTGCCATGAAAAGATTTTTGTACTTTAGGATAAATACAATATACAATGAACACATCCCTAATTTATATTGTTAATATTCCTGTATTATTGTGTTCTTATCAAAAAAAATCTAATGTATCACACAACTAGTTCCAAAAAGTTTTAGGTCAAGAAATGTGAGCATGATCATTTACCAAGAAGAGTGTCTCGCACTGAGTAGTAATGTTGCCACACAAAGAAGTCATAGATGGAGATGTTGGCAATCTGTGGTTCGGTTCCATTTGGTCCCAGGAGTCCCAGCCAGTGTTGGGTGGCAATGACGTAGTCTGGGTGGAGGGTGGTCTTGGCCAGTTCCAGGGCGTTAAGGAACTCCTGGACCTCCTCAGGGGTCAGGTCATGGAGGTTCTTGCGCACAACTGGAGCTTTCCTCTGGTCACAGTTTGGACCGGTCCAGCCAAACTTACACTGGCCACAGTCATGACCTGCAAAGTTACCTGCAAAACAGAAAGCAAATTAAATACTAGGGCGTTTCATGTTGTTGATGATCTAGTTCAATCTACTTTTACTCACTGTTTTAGAATCTGGATAAAACTGAAGAGCACCCACCAGTACATCTGCAGGTCTGGTTGAAGAATTTGGTGGGCCACCTCTCTCTGTCGTCCACATTTCTCAGTCTGTACGGTCCTCCCCAGGGTTTGTTATCAACTCGAATCACAGAGCAGCTCCCTCTCCCCGACAGAGAGCCACACACATTGGTAGGATCTGAGCCCAGAGCAGGGCAGCACTGCTTGGACTGGATCCCCTCCACTGTGCAGCATACTCGTGGAAACTGGGCCTCCGCCGGCTCAGGCCAGAGGAGTAAACACAGAAAACCAAGACCTAGGATGTTCTTCATATTGCACCTACTTGTTTCCTCCAGTTGACGGTGACAGATCGGTTTGTAGATCAACTTGGCAGAGAATTTGTTTCCCCAGATGAGCATTGAATCACACTCGGCTATGGAGTGTATCTTCAAATTTCAATTCAGTGGTACATCGGTGGAAAAACAAAAATTAGACCCAGATCATGTTGTGTTCCAGTTGGTTACATGCACATTATGAAGGCCTGTAACTTTTTCTCTTGCTTTTGTAGAGCTGGGGGGATTAAGTCATTAGTCTTGTGATGATCACCTGAC